CCGGGGTGAGACAGGGCAGGGGAGGAGCTGCATCAGGAGCCCCAGCACACCCCCGGGGTGAGACAGGGCTGGTGAGGAGCTGCATCAGGAGCCCCAGCACACCCCCGGGGTGAGACAGGGCTGGGGAAGAGCTGCATCAGGAGCCCCAGCACACACCGGGGTGAGACAGGGCTGGGGAGGAGCTGTCTGGGCCCCTGACGACCTGGAGGGCGGGGAGGCCAGAGGTCAGGGCGGAGATGTGAGCACAGTCGTGGCTGACTTGGCTGCTGTATGGCAGAAACCAACGCAAAGTGCTGCAGGAATTTTACAAACATTTGAATCTTGAAAAATAGGGGAAAAGCGTGGGAAAGATGTTCAGCTTCATTAGCCATCCGGAAAATGAGTGTTAAAACCACAGTGAGGGTGCACTCCACACCTGTCAGAGTGCCCACAATAAAAACCAGTAGCAGCAGACGCTAGTGACAGGCATAGAGACGGGACCGCTTAGGCGCTGCTCGTGGGAGTGCCGAGCACTGCAGCCTCAGTGAGGACGGTCTGCAGTCTCTTAGGCTAAACTACACTACACACGCAACGTGACGAAGCAGTCGCACTCCTGGGCCTCATCCCAGAAAAATGAAAACTTATGTTCATACGAGAACCTACACATGAATGTTCATACCAGCTTTTTTTTTTTTTTTTGGTAACAGCCAAAAATGGAATGAACTCAGATGTGTTTCACTGTGTGAATGGTTAAGCAAACTGCGGTGCATCCATAACATGAAACATGATGCAGCAATAAAAACAACAGCTACTGACACATGCCACAGCCTGGATGAACCTCCAGGAAATCACCCTGAGTGAAAAACACCAGTTCCCAAAGTTTACATACTACGTAATTCCATTTATTGAACATTTCCAAAATGACAAGTATATAGAGATGGAGAACAGATTTGTGCTGGCCAGAGGTTAGGAAGAGGTTGGGGCAGGGAGGGAATATAGCTGGAGGAGGACAATAAAAGTGATACTGCGACAGGAACGTTCTGGGTCTTGACTCGACCAATGTGAACTTCCTGCCTGTGACATCATACTGTGGCTTTGTAATGTGTCACCATTGAGAGAAACAGTAAGATATCACAACCTCTTTCTACATTATTTCTTACAACTTCATGGAAAGAAAGAAAGAAAGTGAAGTTGCTCAGTTGTGTCCGACTCCCTGCAACACCATGGACTGTAGCCTACCAGGCTCCCCCGTCGATGGAATTTTTCAGGTAAGAGTACTGGAGTGGGTTGCCATTTCCTTCTCCAGGGGATCTTCCTGACCCAGGGATCAAACCCGGGTCTTCCGAATTGCAGGCAGACACTTTACTATCTGAGCCACCAGGGAAGTCCCTACAACTTCATGTGGATGTTCAGTTACGTCAAACTCCAACATTCAATTAAAAACAACAAAACATGATGGTCACGCCAGGAGAAATATCAATAACCTCAGACATGCAGATGACACCACCCTTATGGCAGAAAGTGAAGAACTAAAGAGCCTCTTGATGAAAGTGAAAAAGGAGAGTGAAAAAGTTGGCTTAAAGCTCAACTTTCAGAAAACTAAGATCATGGCATCTGGTCCTATCACTT